ATCATCAGATATTGTCCAAGATTAACCTTCAGGGTGGATATAGCTCGCTAGCAGCCTCACACCGATGACCTATCTAAGTTATCCATTACCCAGAATCCTTTGCATGTAAATAAAATGGCTCTGTCCATGTAATGTATTTTTAAACTTTTAGTTTAAAAATTATAAAAACTAAACAGCCTATTTCTACAGTCTTTATTTTACAGTTCAAACATGTTTATCAAATAAAGTCTAATGTTACAACTAATCACGGATTCCTTTAAAAAAAGAAGGAAAAAAACAGAATTGTTGCTTATGACTACAGAAACAAGTTTGAATAGGTTTTTTTTTTACTCATTCTGGTCACTTGTTCTTCTATTTTAGGAGTGAAGAGAGGAGTGTGTTCCCAGATTAATCACTTCCCAGAGGACGCAGACTTTGACCACGATGGGGCAGAATACGTCCTGCGTAAGTCAACACTTGATTATTAAAACAGATGAGACAAGAAGAAGGAGAGGAAGGAAACATTCTAAACATGTGACAGTATGTAGAAAGTGATAGTATGGGTGTCCTAGTTTGCTCTCAGTGCCCTGCAGCCGTGTCTTCTGCTGTGTGATATGCTACATGGTAGCCTGTGCTCTGTTTACATTATTGCAGAGGCATTTTGCATTTTGGCATTTAGGTGGCCTTTTCTCTCCCGTGGCCTACTTGTCCTAGATGAGAGGAGTGTTAATGTGTGGTTGACAGACCCACTGAAAGCCACATGGAAACAGTTTTATTCAAATGTGTCCTGAACATAACACTTTCCATCACCAGATATTTTGTGGATGTTTTTAAAGCGCAAATTCTTTGCAGACTGCTCCATTTTGTCTTTTGATGAAAATTAGCACACAGCTGTAACAGATGTCCTTTCAGACATAGAAGCAGGATTTTACTCTGTTGATTTGATAGAAATTTTAATTAAATAATTTCAACGTGGAGCTTGTTTCTCTGCCATGAAAGTAAAATACACTGTGTTTTTTCATTAAAATGTACAAGCTTAGGAAAATGTAACTTCTACTTTAGATCTTTATGTTTAATAAATAACAAATTTCTCCTTCTGCATCCTAATTGTTGCTTAACGTTTGCTCCTGTAGGGGTGGTCAGGGCTTCCAACATCTTCCCCATTCTTAGTGCCATCCTGCTGCTGATGGGAGGAGTCTGCATCGCTGCTAGTCGTTTTTACAAAAGCAAAAGGAACATCATCCTGGGGGCGGGAATCCTCTTTGTGGCCGCAGGTAACTGATACATACAGTATTGTTCCTTAAAATGTTTAGTTTAGGGTTGCTTACTTATTTGTAATAATGTCACAGCAATGCAAGGATGCAGAAATGTGGATGTGCAACAGAGGAGCTGATGAAAACTGCACCTTCATAAGAAAATAAAAGAGCTGACATGGCAACAAAAAATATCCATCCATCCATCCATTTTCTTCCGCCTATCCGGGGTCGGGTCGCGGGGGCAGCAGCTTCAGAAGGGAGGCCCAGACCTCCCCCTCCCCAGCCACTTCTTCCAGCTCCTCCGGGGGAACTCCAAGG